TAAAAAATAAGCCTCTAAAAGAAGTTCTTTAAAAAAAGTAGACTCAATAGCTTTAGCTTTTTTAATAGCTTGACTAAGAGTTTCAGGACAAGCTATTTTAACATGTTGTCGAATTTTCTTATATAATTTATCAATAAATTGGCATAGTTTATCAGTTTGTAGATAGGCATTTTCAGGATCAACTTTTTAATAAAGGTGATTAAGATTAGTATAATATTCATTAACTGTTTTATCTATTTGTTGTTTTTAACTACAAAGATCAGCTATTCATCGAGATTGTTGATGAGAAGTGCAAAATTTTGTAAAAAAACATAAACAAATGAATGATTAGAATGGTTATTGTTATTCTAAAATTCAAGTTGAGCATCAACTGTACATTACTAAAAAGTTGCAGAATCTTTCAGATAAACAAGAAGAATATTTAATATTCGATCTTCCTAGATATTATTTGCTATACAAGCATTCTCAAAGTCTTTAATCTATTTAACAGAGTACTGTTTTCCTTCTTTAAAAGTAGGTAATTTGGTAAGTTGAGTTTTTTTTTGTCTTCCAACTAAAGCATTTATAAATTAGTTAAAATAATATAATGTTTGTTGTTCTTTCTCACTATTTGATATAAGATTATTAAAAAGATCACCAAAATTATATAGCCTTTGATTATCATCATTGTTATTATTATTATTAAGAACATTTGGGTTATTATTATTATTATTATCATTGTTATCCTTCTGGTTGTTAGTTTGTAAAGGCATATAAGCATTATTATTAGTTCAGTTAGTATTAACTGTTCAAGGATTGGTTCAAGATGTTTTAGCATAAGTATAATAGACCCTTCAAGGTCTGTTTTGAAGTTGAATAGAGGGATAAAGTTGGTTTTCTTCATTATCAGAATTTTCATCATTATGAGCAGAATTGTATATAGTAGCCATATTAGAATTTACAATAGTAGAATTAGAAGAATTTGATGAACTATAGCTAATTAGTTTAGTTTGTACAAAACAATAATCTGGCTCTCCAAATATTAAAATTTAAGGTAAAGATGTACTCATATATAAGCAATATTTTTCTTTAAATTGAAAAAATTGGTTCTGTTATCATCATCAAATTGTAATAAAATTTACTAAAAATTACCAAACTGTAGCAAATTTTAAATATCACAAGTGTTAAATAAAAGATTTTTTATTTAAAGAAAAATAAAATAAACAAAAATAAGAAATAAAATAATTAAAAAGTAAAATTCAAATTCAATAGCCTCCTAGATACTATAAAGTACAATAATAAAATTAGCTTTTAAACTAAATCCTACTGTCTAGTATGTGTAGGTCAGGTATAACAAAATGTTTATTCTATATAAGGATTATCATTTTAAACTTAGAGATATTCATAAAGTATAACCAAAAGAAGAAAAGCCTTAATAATCAGATTGTTGACAGCTATATATAGCCTTTAAATTTTAATAATATAAAGCTAGTATTTGCCAAATAACTAATTAAAAAAACCAGCTTTTCACTTTATATAATTACAAGAAAAAAAAGAAAAATAAAATAAATAAAGATAAATTATAAAGAATAATAAGATAAAGAATAAAATAAGAAATAATTTTTATTAATAATAATGAGATAAAATAAGTAAAATAATATTTTATTAAAAAATAATTAGGATACAAAAGAACTTTTATATATAAGATAAGAACTTAAGAAGAATTATAAAAAGTGAGAATGGTAATCCTAGTATAGTATTGTCATCTTTCAAGCAGTAGGTCCAGAGTTCAAATCCCACTAGTGGTAGAAATTTAAAAAATAGTCCTATTCTGGCAACTTGTTTGGGGTATCTGGAGTTGTAACCCTGTAATTCTGGTTGTACCAAGACTAACTTTGGGAGCATACAATATCACACAAATAAATCTAAAAAGTATATACTCTATAAGAAGTTCTGTTTTGAAATCCTGAGTAGAAAGGTAGTACAATCTTTGATGGTATCACCTATAAAAATCTTGATCCAGAGATAGAAACCTGAAGCAGGTGACCTGTATGGGCAAGAACCCTAGATAAAGAGGTCTACCAACCTGGCTACTGGTTAAACTAAGTATGAAGTTGCATTATACAAAGCTAACTGTATTGGTAGTATAGAAGGACTTGCAAGGGTGTACAAGGTACCGGTGAGGTTGTAAAAGTAGATACTAGAGTTGTACGAACTCTACAAGGATATAGCGGTTTAATGGTTAGCCCTGACTACAAGTGTTGGCCCTCGATCATAATGAGTCTGGGTCAGCTGTAAATAGGAATACAGAAGGCTCCAGAAGGTTTATCTCGAGGATAAATTAGTCCTAAGGTTGAGACAAGGATCCAGGGTAACCTGGTGAAGTTGACACAGATTATAGGTTCAGAGGGTTTAAATGAAACACTCAAACAGAAGTGTTAGGTACAGCAACTGGTAGGGAACCCTTAGGCAGATTTCTTAAATAGATAATATAGAAAAGTTACACATGTAGCCAGTTGTACACTCTTCCTGTAGTAGTTCCTATGGAACTATGTTACCCAAAAAGTGTTAATAAAGTTAAAAGACCCAAGAGGTCACCTTAATACCAAAAAAAAAGAATTATAAAAAGTATTGCTTTTTAGAAGGCCAAAAAGCTATCCTTTTTATAGTTTTTAACTTAATAATTGATTTGTTTTTGGACTACTATATGTTGTAACATTATTCTGGACCATCTGGACGTTCAAAATGCACTGGAAATTAAGAAATTCCATCTGCATTTTACTAATAATGTTTGTATACAAATGATGGGCCAATGCTGCATCTTTCTATTTTTACCAATGCTTGGCACTCTATTTGTACAATAACCTACATATTAACTAAAAATAAAACACATCATTGTGTAG